GCAGTCACACCACAGAGGATTCTAAGAGTCTATATAAAGTGATTTTATGAGCAGTTACTCAAGGCTTGCTGTCAGAATACTTTACAGACCAGAATAAACACACACCTACAAACACATAGTACATAGTGAATAAAACCAATTTTGAAAACACACCTTTTAGATATATATAAAGTGTATAAATTTGTTTGAATACAATTTGTGATATGTTTATTGTATAATGCCAAGACATATTCTACTGAATTATCACAACTCTTTATTTGAAGAGGGCCATGGTTAACTGTTTCCTCACCCCTTGTGGGGGAAGTACTAGGGATTGAACCCATAGATGCAACAGTTCTTCTATTTAAAAAAAAAAAAACAACTTTATTTTATGTTTTTTGGTTGTTTTTTTTTTTTTTTATGTGGTGCTAAAGATCAAACTCAGTGCCTCACACATGCTAGGTGAGTGCTCTACCACGGAGCCACATCTATTTTTACTTTTTAAATTTTGAGACAGGATCCTGCTAAGATGCTGAAACTGGCCTTGATCTTTCAATTCTCCTATTTCGGCCTCCCAAGTCGCTGGGATTACTGGTTGGTTATGTGTTTTGGGGTTCTCCCATATATTCTCAGGGGAGTGCCTAAATTATTTCACATAGCAACACCATTAGACTGAAATACTTATGATGAACAAGAAATCTCAGATTGTTTTCAACAAAGCAAAACAGACTTCATAGAAGGTGGAGTTAGCTAATTAGAAAAGACATGAGACAGACACCTATTAATTTACCACATTGATTTCTTCTCTCCCACAAACTTGAGTTTTTGGCTGATTGACAGCATTACTACTAACACACACATGCTTGTCTCTTGTTTAGTTCATTGGAACACATATAGGAATGCAGCTATTGGTTTTCGAATTTTTTTAAAGAATGACAATCCTGTAAACAAAATCCTTTTAATAAAATTAAGTGTGGTGTTCAGAGACTTAAACATCTATCAATCCAAAGCATTCCAATGGCAACTTCCTTTCTATTACTAAAAAATATTCACAAGATGTAATGTGCATCAGAGGCATCAATCAGGAATAAATTCACATCACAATTAAACACAAGACAATAACCACACAAGTTTCCAGAGGTTTTATTTCTGCTTCCACAAAGAATCTCAGCAAAATATCTACCTAGTCTTTAAAAAGCCAAATAATATTACAGCTTAATACCAAATTCAAGTACTGCTTATACTCTTTCTTCTTTCCCATATTAGAAACAATATAGCAAAGCCAGAAGTAAGGTCCAAATGAAAACAAATTTCACAGCTCTTAAAAAAATATACAACTGTCACTGTTAATAAAAGCCAAGTGTGCAACTAACTGCTGTCTAAATTCTTGGTTTGAGGCATCTCTTAAATGACACACACACACACACACACACACACACAAAATCAAATAAACATTAGTTCTTGCAAATATAATGCAAATAGCATGCTAATTAAAGTATTCACAAGACAATGACAAATAGGGCTTTAGGACTTCAGTACATATTATTATGTAACTACAATACACATTAAGCAATCACCAGGTTGTAGGCAGGCCTTCCAAAAGGAGTTATTATGGTTTACCATGATCAGAAGACTGTGGTGTTACACCTAATCATGCTTTTACCTGCAACCAGGTGTTTACAGATGTCAAGAAGTAAAATGCTGATTGTAAATGTAAACCTACAGTTCTGCCTAATAAATTGTGCAGTATCTGCACACTGTACCTCCCTGTTTTCTGCACAAACTTTCTACTCCAATGTGAAAAAAACAGCACAAGGTATGTTTTATGGACCAAAATTTAACTTCCAATTCGTTTTCAGTACAATGCCCAAACTCACACACTTAGAACTAGACTTGTGTCAAGGGCTATGAAGTTAAAATTTAACACTTAGGAGACCCAAAGAAATATCCTCAGGATTTCAATAAAAGTATAGATGTCTCAAAAAGAAAGTTCCAGGATAATGATATTCAATGCTTTTAACAAGCATATTACAGAAACCATACACAACTAACTAAACACAATCTACTCATTATGGCAAGAAATTCCAAATACTCCAGTTTTTAAATACAAGGAGAAAAAAAGAAAAAACATGAGAAAGTGACAGGGTATATAGATGCCATAAATCAATGGATTTTTTTATGAGTTCTGTTCTGCCTGCTCAAAAAAAATTCAGGAAACCTGGAGTAAAATCTTCTGGGCCTTTCTCAAGATGCTAGTTCAAACAGTAATGCAAGACACCTGATACCCCAGGGCAGCTCACAGACCTTCTGAGCAGTGAAAGGAAGGACATAAATAAAATAACAGTCAAGGCAGGAGATTTTTCAGAGAGTTGGAATTACAACACTACAAGGTGTTTTCCAAGGCTGGGCCTAAAATGTCCATGGGAAAAAAAATTTTTTCCTACCCAAAGCAGAGATCTGCATCAACAGCAGCCAGGACAAGTGGTACCACCTACCCTCTCCACGAGGGAGGGCAAACCCTGCACACACATACACACCAAATGCACACACAACCAAACCCAACCAGCTCAACGTGAAAAATACTGGAGGTTGGGAGCTGAAGATAAACAGGTACTGAGATGTCCTTTTCTCAGGCTTACAGTATTCACAGTCACCAGAAATGGGAGGGCTCCACATTCTGAAGGGGTGACCAAGATATTGACAAATCAAAGACAAGGACAATATTTGCAAAAGAATCACTTGAAGCCAGAGGAATAAGAGTGGGCAAGGATTCACCTTGCTCCTGATCAACTGGATCACTCCCACCAACCAGCTCAAAGTCCCAGTAACAGCTGAACTCCCTACGTGCAGAAGAGCCACCAATGGCATGACCACGTTGGCTTACCTCACAGGCTGGGACCCGGCAGGCGTTGAGCTTGTCACCATCTCCTTCAGGCAGACCAGTCCGACGTGTGGCCATCATTTCATTTCAAATTTCAAAGAAAGGACAAATCCTTTGGAGTCCACATTGGGGGTTGGGTGGGGAATGCCACCACACGTCAAAAGGGCAAGAATTTCACACCAGGCTCGGAGAGAAGATGCAGGGCTAGTGAAACAACGTGCCAGAGAATGAAGGTTTTTCAGGAAGCTTCCAATGCTGGCTTCAACTGACTCCACCGTCTTCTTCCATTTCTTGCGACTTAAAAAAACAAAGGAGACAGATCTCCTTAGCAGTTAATGTCCAGGCCAACTGCAGAAAGCGGTCCCTTCTAAGCAATGCTAACTCCGGAGGCCAAAGGAAGCCCAGTGGGTCGCTCCGACGTCTGCTCCTGAAGAGGTCCTTCCTACAACAGGGAGAAGTTAAAAGGGCATGAACTTTCTCCAGACACCGATCTTTAGCCTTGCCACAGGTCGACATCAAGTTCTCGTGTCCGACACTCGGATTATTCGGTCCAAGAAGACGAACCATACAAGTGAAAAAAGAACTCATCTTTGCATGCATGAAATTTGGGGGGGAAAAAATTAAAGAAAAAGATTATAAATTCAAGAGGGACACAGAAGAACGAGAAACCTCAGAATTTCCCGAGGGTTGTATCAAACACAGCTGGCTGTTGTGCACCCTTCAAGAAGGAAAAAAAAAAAAAATCCCTGTTCAAGTGCATTTTAATTAATGAATTTCCTGGGCAGAACAGAGGCAGTAGGTACGTTCTGCATCACCCGGATACGCACACTTCAGGGATGTTTTCTCCCCACGGGGACAAAACGGGATACTTTCAGACAGCCTCCTCGCTCCCTTCCACCTCCCCAAAAAACAAACAAAAAGGCGACCGGGGCCGGGGCCAGGGCCGGCGTGGGCTTGGCGGAGTCTCCAAGCGGGCTGCTCCGGCCGCCTGCACCCTGCCCCTCCGCCCGAGCCGGCGTCCCCGAGGAGGCGGCTGTTTTCCTTGGCCCGCGGCGAGGCTGGGTGGGGACGACCGGGCCGGGCAAGGAGGCGTGCGGCAGCGATTGGGACGCGGCGCCGCTCCCGCTCCGGGGCATTATTCTGGAGCTACACAGACGAAGCCTCAGCCCAGGCAACTTTTATCTCGTGGCAGTTCCCCCAACTACGACCCGACACTAACCCTCTCCTGTAACCACCGAGGGAAGGAAAAAAAAAAAAAAAGGAAAAAGAAAACCACCACCCACCTACCACTATTTCCTCCGCCCCTTCCTGAGGCGGGTCGGGGAGCTCGAGCTCCCGGGAAGAGTGGCCCAAATGTGTATTTCGAAAAAGGTGCGGGGAGGCGTGGGGAAAGACCCAAACCCGGGGGCTCACCTTCCCGCCCGCTCGGGCCCAGCTGCCCGGCGCGGCTGCCAGCAGGAGCGGGGACGCGGGCCGGGCGACGGTCCCGGCCGGGAGGCGCTAGGCCGCAGGCTCGGTTAATATTCATGAGCGGCCCGAGGCGCCCCTCCTCCACGGCCGTCCGGCCGGATCCCGGCGCCCGCCACCGGCCTTTGTGCCCTTCCCTCCTCCCGCCGGCCCTCCCAGGCTCCGCACACGCGGGCGCGGCCCCTCCGCCCCCTCCGGACGCCCGCCGCAGACTCCCTGCGGCCCCGCGCCAGCTCCGGCACTGGTTGAGGTGGCGGGAAGGGAGGGAACCCGCTGCGACCCGGGCTCTCCACAGCCCCGCCAGCGCTCTGCCCTCCCGGCTAAAACGGAAAAGAAAACACGCACCGGAGGAAGCGGGGCGAGTGGATCCCGCACCGCGCTGCCGACAGCCGGAGAGCGCGTTCCGTACGGCGGCGCCAGCCGAACCCAGCGGGAGGACCAGCCGGCGCTGCCCGCCGCTGCGCTCCGAGGCCGCCGCCCCCGGCCGGCCGCTCCCAAGCACCGCCGCGACCTGCCCCGGCCGGCCCCGGGCTCTCGGCCGCCGCGGGAGGGCGTGGGGCGGGGCGGCGGCCGCCGGACTCTCCCCTCGCCTCGCCGGGCCCGGCCGGGGCCCTGCTTCGGCGCCCGCAATCGCCAAGTGACAGAAACGCCTGGCTCCGCAGCCGCGCGGAGCTGTTTCCCGGGGGCGGATTTCTCGCTTCTTCCTCCCTGGATCCACCTCCTCCCACTCCACCTCCTTCCCCTCCCCTCCCCAGGGGAGGCTCTGGGACTGAATATTTTCTGTCTTGAATAATACGGTCTCAGGGAGCCGACGCAGGAGGAGGATTAACCCGGGGCGGGAGGGGTCCTCGCTAACCCCCTTCCAACGCGGCTGGGGACCCACAAGCCCTCACGCCCAGCAGCACCCCAAAACCAGGCTCACAAAACCTCCCGCCCTCTCCGACCTCCCGAGCGCTGAACGGAGCGGCCGGGAGCGGGGGTTTATCCTGGGGAAGAGATTTGGTGGCTGGTGTCCGGGTTGCTTAGTGGGAGACAGTCATATAGCGAGATCTGTGGAACCGAGGGATCAAAGGTCCCAGACTGCGAAGGACATGTCTTGGTGAATTATTGGCCCCTTTTTTGAAGCGGGAGGAGCACGAAGCTGGGAGATGTGGGACTTCCAGATAAGGGAGTGTCTTCTCACATCAGACAGCAAAATATTTCCCGTGGTGGGAAAAAAGGGGGCGGGTAGCAGCGGAGCGTTGTTCATTCAATTCTTTCCTTTTTAAAAAAATCCACAGAGCCGCTGAGCTGCTTCGGAGCGACTAGCAGAACTGAGGAAAGGTGGCTGTATTTCTCTACACTACAGGTCACTGCGGCTCCACACCCAGAGGACAGCCGCGCGCCGTCCCTCCCCACCAGACTCCAGGGCCTGGTCTTAGACCTCGGGCGGCTTGCTCCACCCCGCCGCGCCTCACAACATCTCCCGCTGCAAATTGTCCAATCGGGAAACGCGACAAGAGAACAGGAACCAATCAAAGGCTGCTGACTCAGGTCTCCCTCCACCCTTTGCCCCGCCCCCAAGGGTAAAGCCACCGCCCCCTGCCCCCCACCCCCGTCTCTCCTTCCCATCTCGCCTGGGGGTCCTGGGAGGTGGCTCACCAGCTTGGGTCCCTGCCTCGCCGAAGTGGAGTAGTAGCTTGATGTGGCGGCGGTGTTTTTCACCTTGTCACCCTCATCCTCTCCCCCTCCCATACACAGCCCTCCTCCCTTCCCCAGTCCTGCTGGTGCTGTTGAGGGTCATTTCTATCCTCACTGCAGCGGGGGACTGCTAGCTATTGTGTCTGATCAGCTGCCACCACCATCCTCAGGGAGAAAAGAAGAACAAAACCAAGAAGCTAAGGGGTGTGTCTATCTTTTCCTTCTTTCTTACACACTTATCTTCTGAAGACTCAGACACCTCTCCTCCCCTGCTCCTCGCCCACTGCCTCGGCTTCTGTTTCTTGTTGGGCGGGGGACAAAAAACACTCCCTGGGGTAGGAATACCTATGTCTCCGTTTTTTGGTCTTCCTTAGAGTGGAAGGCACCAATTAACAACTAAATCCTCACACTCAAAAATAAATAAATAAAAATTGACTAGCTCTTTTTGTTGTTGTTGTTTAGTTCTAAATTGACTAAATCATTTTTATGGCCTTGAAATTTGCGTGTTCCAGACAGCTGCTGAGCAAACTAGTCAGCCAATAACCAAGAATGGAAAAAAAAAAAAAAAGGAATTAAAGTATAGGGAGGGCCTGCTTGTCAGTTGGTAATTTACTAAACAGCCCACTGGTCCATAGCACATCTAGTGCTGGATACTGTTGGATAAATTAACTAAAAGTGAATAGAAATGTAGGGTTCAAGTAGTTTACACTAGCAGGCATAGAGAATATGTCCAGAAAGGAAAAACAGATTAAAGCTCCTTTACAAATGCAAATGTGCATGTGTGCATAAAATGAGTGCCTAACAACTGAGGAGATTTGAACTATAAAGTTTTTGTAATAGAAATTGTTTTAAATGTTGACTTTGAAAAAGATTCTCAGTATGGTACTAGAAAATAAAATATTGGCCAAGAAAGGAGATGTTTGAAAAGGAAATAAAACACGTTTTAGGAATTATAGGAAAATAACAGAAAGAGGCAATGTTTCTATAAAAGACAGTAAAATACAAGAATCAAGATTATAACCCAGCTTCATCATTTACCATGTAACTTATGACAAATTATTACTTACCTGTATAAGTACTAGAACTGTCAAATAATAACAGTGATCGCCATGTAGATAACACTGCCTCAGCTGCCACCACCATCCTCAGGGAGAAAAGAAGAACAAAACCAAGAAGCTAAGGGGTGTGTCTATCAGGTATTCCACTAAGCTTTTCATATAACTTAATGAGTGGGGTATGTGGTACAGCCAGGATTCAAGTCTGGCTCTAGAATCCATTCTTTTATCCAAAACAATATACTGCCCCTAACATGGTTTTTAATAACAATTGCAACTTAATTTTAGCTAACACTCAACTAAGTAATTACTAATTTTCATAGTCTATTAAGTACCAATTTAATTGTATCCCTGGGATAGGTATGCTTAAGATGTTGCAAAATTTAGAAATGTTTTTAAGAACCATTGTAACGTGCATTTTATGTATATTAGACTATCTGAATGGAGAAGCACAAAAACACAGAACTAAGATTTGAGAAACTGTGTCCTGGTCCTCTACTGGGGCATCTGAGTGTGACAGCACCTTCTACATCTTGCTGGGCTGAGATCACCAATGAGATAATAGATGCAAAGGAGCTTTAAAAATGTAACAATATTATTCTGGTCATTAAAGAACTAAGCCATTGTTAAATGTCAATTATTAAATTATTATGAAGCAAGAGTTTGTCCCATGTTCCCAATAGGAACCCTACACTTTATAACATTTTATTGATATTTCTTAAGAACATATTAACCCAGTTAAAAATTAGGTCTGCTCTTTTCTGAAGGCATAAGCAATAATAATATCTTAATAAATATATGAACTCTTTTTTAGATTCATTCTGAGTAGACCCATATGATGTGGCACCCTCAAATCATCTGGAAGTGGCAATCAACAACCAATAATTCTCCATTCCAAAGGCTGATGGTATAGTTGATAGAAAATGCAAACCTTTGGAATTCTACTCAGCTGCCCATCTTGGGCATTTCACTCATTAACACCTCCACCAGAGGGAGGGCAAGGGAAAGGAAAAGGAGCCAAACTTAAATCCTGTGACTACATGTTAACAGCTCCAATGAGAGATTTGGTGAAACAAAGTTTGAGGGTCACGGTAACTGAAAGGATACAACCAACTTTGGGTTTCATGGTCAATATCTTGACATTTTTCTTTATCCCAAATATCATAGATAAGCAAGGGCTAACGGTAATTCTGCCTTTGTTTACCTTAAATGGCTGATATTTTCCTCAACATTTGTGATTTCCTACCATCTAAATTCTTAGCATATCCCTTGAATTAGTCCTAAAAATTACTGATCCTATATTAATAACTACAAGACCAACTCGTACACTGTAATTCTTGCAACACAGGCAAGACATTTTTAAAGGTGGAAACTATATCCTCAAAACATGTTTGGACTTTGTTAATGATATAATAATATTATTTTGGTGAACCACTATCAAGGAAAAATGTCAAAGCCAGAAATAGAACCACAGTGTCCCAGCCTCTGGTCTGAGTTCATTCCATTATAATCTATGGATGATTTCTACTCTGAATATAGAAGCTGGCAATTCTAGGAAGCACAAGTGTTTGCCAGTGAATTCCACAAGTGAAATTCATAATTCAGGATGAAGCATTTGCAAAACTATGTGTCTGAAGTATTTAAGATCACTGACCCGCAGAGTAGCAAGCATTTTTGGGGTTTTAGGAAAACACTATGGACTTTATTTCTAACTCATACAATTCCAAGAAGACATATTATCTCCTCATATTTCTTTGAAAAACACTTTCACATTGAACTGAGTAGCCACAGAAATCCCACCTTACTTACAAGGCATTTAATAATTATAACCAAGAGGTAGGAACAGCCAGGCAGGGTTGGTGGTGGTGCACACTCATAATTCCAGCTCCCAGAGAGGCTGAAGCAGAAGAATTGCAAGTTTCAGGCCAACCAGGGCAAATAGTGAGATCCTATCTTAATTTTTTTTAATTAAAAAAAAAAAATTTTAAAGAGATGATAGTAATTCTTCACAATAAAAAGTTCTAGGGTTCTTCCCTTATCGCCTCTACTAGTTTAATATTCTGCATTTGCTAAATATATAACTTATTCTGTTCACATAATTATTATTTTTATAAATTTCTGAATTAATAAGTTCTGAATAAATAATAATGACAGTATTTAATTCAGTACATATAGTGCCTAGCAAAATGTGACACACAGTAAGTATTTTTGAATAATTTCTTTGCCTTCAGCTTATTATGATCTTTTCCACCTCTGGACTAAAGTACTAGTATTTATTTTTGTTTGTTGGCATCAATTAGTTACCTGGTCATACCCAATCTTGTATCATTACTTAATAGAATATTATCTCCTTTTCTATTAAGATTATAAACCTCCAGGGAAGATTTCTGGGGCTTTGACTTGTTTTCAGATACCCATAATATCTACCCCAACTTTTACACATAGAAATCACTACAAAATTATTCACAAAACAAATGATAATTGTGTCGCTGTTGTCATTATTAGCAATGGTATTTTTTAAAAATATTCTTAGCAGTGGTATTTTATTATTTGTGGTACTTTGGACAGAAGTGCCATCTTGTATCTCTTAACCTACCTTCACCTCTGATGACTGAGCTGTTTCTTGGTCACAACACTGTCATAAAATTTAATATCACTTGCATTTGGGTAGTAATTACAAAATTTCAACCTATAGTTGAAATTAATACTGTATTCAGTATTTTCTTCTGGATTCAATAATGGTTCAGCACCCAAATCCCCATACTTAAAATTTAGTGGTAAGATGGTCATAGAAAACAGTATTATTAAGAGTTGATTTCTATATTTTAAGGAAAAAAACATGACTGAAAAAAGGGGCAACTTTTATTTTACCCAAAGAATCATGATTTTCATTTATCATTACTTTAATTTTTCTTAAAAATATGAGGTCAGTTCTTTAAGTGTTTCCACCCACCCACCTAAATAGGAGCAGGAACATCCTGTGAAAATTCTGTGTAATCTGGGTAGAAACCCACATTACAAATACAGAACTGAAATATGTTTTTATCATCTTGGACAAGAATGCTAAATTCTAACCATTCTAATTAGGAAACTGTGGTAGCATTTGATTTTTAGTATTATAGGCCTAATCTAGAGTAACCAGATTTTTCTCAGCATAATTTTGAAAAAGAAAAAGTCAAGGTCTGCCCTTTCCTTTCATCTTCATGGGACAGAAGTAGAAAAGACATCTCAAGACTTCTCCATTCCTTGAGGCAATGATACTCTGGGAATCTTTCAATATTCTCTAGCATGGTACATTGTGTTCCTCTATTCCTATAATTGCCTGCATTCCTCAACTAATCCAAAAATCAACTCACCAAAGGTTCTTCCTTCAGATAGGAAAAGATTGCATGATAATATGTGGCAATTCACATCTGGGCTTAGGAAGGATAGAAGCAGGCTTGCATAATTTTTCCCCTAAAAGATTTTTTCAATTATATTTTAATTTTTTAAAATTGCAACATAAAAAAATAAACATGCAAATTGCATAGGACCCAATCTTATACCACATTTTATGAATTCATTCTCTTGTCTTCTTCCAGTTGCCCTGTATAGCTCCTCATTGGTTGAATCCAACAGGAGGCCTGAGACATTGAAAGATAATTCATCTACTCTGTTTTATGTATAAATAGAAAATCTAGGGCTGGGATTGTGGATCAGCGGTAGAGCGCTTGCCTGGCACGTGCAAGACCCTGGGTTCGAGCCTCAGCACCACATAAGAATAAATAAATAAAATGGAGGCATTGTGTCTATCTACAACTAAAAATAAAATAATAATAATTTTTTAAATAGAAAATCTAGTTAGCAAATCCTGATTTAAAAAAAAAAATGAATGAAAAGGAAATAAAGGGCTGATGGAAACATTTTAAATTGTAGGCAGGAAAGATGAAATAAAGTAGCATATTATTCTAAAGGGCAAGAAAGAATGTATTATGGAGGAAGATTAATCCTAGTAAACAGAAAAAAAAAATAGACACAAATGTTTCACACTCTGAGAAATAAAATACATCAAAAGTGAAATCCCAAGGGACTATAATGAGCCTTAGAAGAGCTAAGAGAATGGTCCATACCTTTAATCCCAGTGGCTCAGGAGGCTGAGGTAAGAGGATCACAAGTTCCTCAGTGAGGCCCTAAGCAACTTAGTAAGACCCTGTCTCAAAATAAAAAACAAAAAGGGCTGGGGATGTGGCTCAGTGGTTAAGCACCCCTGAGTTCAATCCCCAGTACAAAATAAGAAGAAGAGGAGGAGGAGCAAGAAGAGGAGCAAGAGCAGGAGGAAGTACTAAGAGAAGATATTAAGAGGAAAAAAGCATACCACTGCAGTAATGATAAATGAATTAGAAA